TGGTGCCCGCTCTCCAGAGTGAGCTCAAATGCACCATTGCCTACTGCATTCATGCGACTCAGCAGCCTTGCCAGCTGGGGCCACCAGCATTGCCGCTCCACACTCACCGCAGTGTCTCCCTGCTATGGCTGCTAACGGTGAAGAGTGAGTGTTGCCTCCATCACCCCCATTGGCTGCCCACCCGCTTGGTCACACCTGCACGTGCTGTCCTCCACCACCCCCAACCTGGGGCAGCACAGTGGGCTGCTCGCCTGTCCCCCCACCCCCAGCCTGATACTGGTTGTCATGTCTGTGCTAAAGGTACAGGCCCTGACTGTCCCCAGAAATGGACTAAAGAAAAAAAATAATAAAGGCTGGTCTAGACTAAGCCTCTGCCTTGTTCCCGTCTGTTCCTTCATTCCCTTAATTTTAAGTTGGCTTCACATCCAATGTGGGGCTTGACTTCATCACCCCAAGTTTAACAGTTGGATGCTCTACTGACTGAGCCAGCCAGGCGCCCCTTCCTTCATTCCCTTGATGTTTGCTGAGCACCTGTCGCCATCAGACATAGGCCAGGCCCGTGGGTTACAGGACTGTTCCCCTGCAGTGGGGTTCAGGGTAGAAGGTGGCCTCCTACATGATTCCAAGGATCGTGGTCTTGAACTTGAGGCTTCCTGGGGAGCTGGAGGAGGCTGGAGCGACACTGGGTGTAGGGCGGTAGGTGCAAATGGAAGAAGGGATTGGGGCCCAGGAAGAGCCTCCCACTAGTCGGGCCAAAACCACAGGGCTTGAGCTGAGGCAGTGGCAGGAGAACAGAGGAAGAGCCTGGTGTAAGTGAGAAAATGTGTGACCCAGGCAGCGGCAGCTCCTGTGAAACGAGAGTCTCTCACTGCCCACATATGAAGGGTCATGTGGCCTTGGATTCGTTTCCAAAGTTGGTGGGTAAAAGGAGAAAACACACTTAGAATTACCCCCAAAGAACCCCTTCACATCACCCACAAGGCCAAGTGGTCCCCCCCTGCCATGCCGAATGGTGTCTGTGAGCCCCCAGAGGCTCCTGCTCCCACACTGGGGCCACACATGGGTAAGGTACATGGTTCCCCAGCTATGTCTCCAGAAGGCTTTCACGCTCTAGACTCAGCACCCGAGCACTCTCTCCCCATATGGGGGGCATCGCCATTTACCCATATCAGGAATTAAAGGTGATGCCGTTTTAAAGATTATCAACCACATTCATTTAAAATCATCAATCAGGGATCCCTGGGTGGTGCAGCGGTTTGGCGCCTGCCTTTGGCCCAGAGCGCGATCCTGGAGACTCTGGATCGAATCCCACATCGGGCTCCCTGTGCATGGAGCCTGCTTCTCCCTCTGCCTATGTCTCTGCCTCTCTCTCTTTCTCTCTCTGTGACTATCATAAATAAATAAAAAAAAATTAAAATCATCAATCATAGGGCAGTCTGGGTGGCTCAGCAGTTTAATGCCACCTTCGGCCCAGAGCGTGATCCTGGAGACCCAGAATCGAGTCCCATGTCAGGCTCCCTGCCTGGAGCCTGCTTCTCCCTCTGCCTGTGTCTCTGCCTCTCTCTGTGTGTGTCTCTCATGAATAGATAAATAAAATCTTTTTTAAAAATCATCAGTCATAAACCCATTGTGTGCAAGGGTATTTGTGTGAAAGGTAACTATTTTCCAAAACGAAGTTTTAGGAGAGTGGCATTGTTTTGCATTTTTGCAAATCTGGGTGTCTGGTTTCCTGGGTCCAGCAGCCTGTCTGCTTCTGCTGTATGTGGCTCAGGAAAAGCCCGTCTCCACAGACGTGTAGATGGAAGCATGCTCCCAGCCTTCAGGTACCTGTGGCCCGTCTCTGGTGGTACGCTGCATCTCAGCCTGTGGCATCTGACCTGTCGGTGAACAAATCCCGGGCTCTGTTTCACGGAAATCCGTCTTGTACACGGGGTCTCCAGCCCAGGCAGGATTTTGTAGCGTCAGCATCAGTCATTAGGAAAATATAAGTTCGCTGATTTATCCAGAACCTCCATATGTTGACGTTTCATTTTATAATTTTAAAAAATCATTTTCTCATCAGAAAAGTCTTTAAGGGGCAGCCCAGGTGGCTCAGCGGTTTGGCGCCACCTTCGGCCCAGGGCCTGATCCTGGAGACCCAGGATTGAGTCCCACATTGGGCTCCCTGCCTGGAGCCTGCTTCTCCCTCTGCTTGTGTCTCTGCACCCCCCCCCCCCCGCCCTCTGTGTGTCTCTCATGAATAAATAAATAAAATATTTAAGAAAAAAAGAAAAGTCTTTAAGCATGGAAAGCTGCCAAAAGATAGCTTCCAGAATTGTCATTTTCGCTTAAAATCATAGATATTATCACGAGTAGGAAGTACTGTTCATTCTCCATAATGCAGCAGGTTCCCTTGGTTCTTTGCTGAGAATATGCCTGCAGGGGAATGGGCCCACATATCCGTGCTCTGTGACCTTCGCACCTCAGCAGCAGCAGAGGGATTCTGCACACTTCCCATGTCCTCATTCAGAACACTCCAGGGACCAGGACATAGCGTTGAGATTTAATACAACTCAGGACATCCTCAGGCTACACCTGCTTCTCCGTGAGTACATGGTGGTGGTGGTGCAGTGCCAGGGCCCTGGGGCAGTGTGCGGGGCTGCCAGAAGGGAAACCCCTTCTGCTTCTGCACTGTCAATGTGTGTGCCTGGCAGTGAGAGGTCTCCCCTTCTGTGGAGGGAGGCTGCGACGTCTTATGGGCCCTGCTGGCAGAGCGGGGGTGGGTCCCATGGGAGGAGGAGAGAGACGGCCACCACCAAGTAATGAGCTGCAGGGACAGTGGGCTGTACCTCATCTGATGCTCACATGGGACTGGCAGCCGAATGGGGCCTCTGACTGTCCCTGATCCCAGCCTCTTTTTGGCCAATTTAGGACACTTGCATCCCAAGGTGACCGGACAGATTTCAGGCTCCTGTGGCTCCAGGACCACCTTCCTTACCGACTCTAGTTTCTGAGGTCAGTGTATCACTTGTGTCCTGAGCCCAGACCTGCTCCCAGAGGAAGGAAAGGAGGGCTGATATCTTATGCTAGATAAGCAAGTGATTCTGCATCTTAAGGACTGGTGACCCCGATGACCAGTGGATCTTTACAGGGGAGCAGAAGAGTAGCCCCAAGGGACAGAGGCATGGAGAGACAGGAGGACAGAGGCCCTCAGGTCAGCCTGGGGCTAGGGGGCATGACAGTGAGGGAGGTCACAGGGGAAGGCAGCCCCAGAGATGTATGCGCCCAGTCATGGGGACGGACCCCGAGTCCCTGCCCCCCGGCCTTCCCACCCTGGCACCGCGGTGTACTGGAGCCCTGCCCAGCACCTGCTGGGCCCTGAGGACACTCCCTACAGTGCAGTGGGCTGGGCAGGCAGCCAGGAGGGGAATCATGGGCGGGAAGTGCATGTGGATCCTCAGAGGAGGCAAAGGTGGAGGGTTTCTGTGAAGTTAGCTGTTCCGTATTATCCAAGGCATCCTAATTGTCTTTTTTTTTTCTTAACTATTGTATGTATTTGGTGCTCTCTTGAATTCTAAATAGAGTTTAGCATGATTCCTTTTTTACAGAAGTGGAAGCCAAGGCCTTATAGTGGGTTTGACTCCACTGGAACCAAAGCACCTCACTTGGGGACCAGACCAGGAGCCCCAATTGCCAGTGAGTGGCGCAGACACCGCCCCCTTCAGGGGTGGGAAGCCACTGTGGATGCCCTAGCCTGTTCCCGCCGTCCTGGAGCCCCCCTGAGCCTTGGCAGGACTGTCCCTGGAATGTCATGCCATCTGCAAGTGACAGAGGCCTGGAAACTTCTGTTCCATTGAACTCTGCCAGGGAGCTATACTTAGCCACCGAGTGCAGGCCAGGAGTGGGCTCTCTGAATATAGATAGTAACAAGTGGGCTATTTTCAAACTCCCAGAGAACCCCCTGGAATATTCCGAGCCAAAATGATATTTATGGAATCTTCCAGGCTTTTGGAAGGGAAGGCATAACCTTAGTGTGTTGGCAGCATCAGCAGTGAGGTTTCTTTGAACAGGGGGTGCGGCAAGGGACGGGACCACCAAGAGACCGGGTGTCCCTCTTGCACCTGTTTCCAGGACCTGAGCTCGTGGGGGCTGGGCGCTAGCATCTGAGTCAGAGAACAGTGGTTCTCCTGGCTGAGTGTTTGGTGCTGACCCTACCTGTGGCCTTCATGCCATCACCCGGGGGCACCTCTCATGCTGAAATGTGGGGTCCCCAGCCTTGGAAATCTTGTTATGCTTTCCCTCTTGTCCAGAATCCTTGCTGATCTCTTAGGCCTTTGCTTCAGCTACACGTCACCAGGCTGCTCCTAGCTCCGGGACCTCTGGTCCCTTCCTTGCTTGCTCCTGCCTTGGAATGGGGTGACCGCAAGGCCTTCTTTAGGGTGAAGAGGGGAAACGTGATCAGTAAAATTTGGATAGGAAAAAGAAGGCCTATAGGTGGAGGGACCCAAGTAGCAGCCACTGGAGAAAAGATCCAGTCATGCCCACTTCACTCAGGACAGAAATGCATGAAGCTTTGACCTCCTTCCTGATTCCTGTTCTGTAGGTGCTGGGAGAAGGTTTCAGAGAGCCAACTTGTAAATGGCTGTCCCCAGTGAATTCTGACGACAAGGCAACATAACCAGGAAAGGCGAGGGTGGTAGGGGGCAAGACCTGTGCAGCCAGGGCACCGTGGCCTCCCACTGGTCTGACTACAGCCCACATGCTGCTGGTGGACCATCTCCCCCATTCATCCTCCGCCGGTTCCTGGGCAGGTGCTCGGGCCTCTCTTCACCCCCTGTGCCAAGCCAGCCTCCACCACCCTGCCCTCTGCCAGTCCAGATATAAATATAAGAGCATTTTCCATGGGCCGGCCCAGAAGGGCAAGCATTCGACTTTATTTTAGGGCCGCGAAATTCCCTCCTTCATACCCAACAGGTGCATCTCCTCATTTAGACATCGGGGCCCAGAAATAGAACACAATCTACAATATAGCTTCCTTCAGGCATCTGGATACTATTTGAAAAAAAAAAAAAAAAAAGCTCTCCTGTGAGATGGCCAGACATAGGCCTGATTGCTGGCTTGACCTGCTCTGCAGAGGAACCCAGCACAAGGGAGACTGCTGGGAGGGAGGACCATCTGGTGAGGGCAGGGCCCCTGCTTGGGACGATGGACAGGAGGAGGCAACGGGCACAGGAGGGGCTTCCAGTAAATCCATCACTTAAAATCAGCTGCCTGCCCATCCTTTGTGGGATGACTGAGAGGTCAGGGGTCAAGCACAGGAACCCCCTCCCCCACCAGGCATCTCTAGGCAAACACTGTATTCACATCAGCTGTTGGGGGTGGGCAGTGTTGAAATTCCGACCCCCAGGACCTCAGGATGTGGCCTGATTGGAACAAGGGTCTTTGCAGATGGTCAAGTTGAGGTTGCCAGGGTGGGGTGCTAACCCAGGATGACTGGCATCCTCACAAGAAAGGGACATTTGGACACAGAGACAGACACACATAGGAAGAAGTCAAGTGAGGTGGAGGCAGAGATGGGCGATGGGTCTGTCAGCCAAGGAATGTCAAGGACAAAGGCAAAGCAGTAGGAGCTGAGGCTAGACCCCGGATGGAACCAGCCCCTCAGGCACCTCGGGCTCGCGCTTCTGGCCTCCAGACTGTGGCAGAGCAGGTTTCCGTGGTTCCAGCTTCCCGGCACGTGGGACTTTGTTACAACAGCCTCAAGGCTGCTGGACACTGCTATCTCAGTGCAGCCTCCCGCTCACACCGTCTGTCCCTGGAGGGATAGCTGATCCCTGTGGAGGGAAGGCTGCAGTGCAGGCCTGGGAACGTGAGCGTGGCTCTCCCAGAGCATCTTCGTTCCACCTGCTGACACAGTCTGGTGCGTGCTGGAGCTGCGGCCCTTCTGGGTGGCCAGTGTCATCAAGGTCACCGTTGGTCCAGAGAAGCCCATGATCGCGGTCAAGTTTCCCCCTGGATGTCCCCAAGGTCCCTACAACGGCCATCATCAAACCAGCCAGCAGAGCCCTGTAGCTGTGAGAAGCCTCTGGCAGGATCCGCAGGTGCTGTGTGGCCTGGCACGGGCCTATGAATGCCCATCAGCAGGCCTGCATGGCCGGGGCTGAGACGGGGCCTCTGCCGCTCACCCTGTGGCCTCATTCAGAGCCAGGACCAAGGTGCCTGACTGTCCCTCAGTCTGGGCCAGAAGTGGAGCTGCTGGCAGCAAGCCAACTCTCCTGCAGAGAGGAGCAGGTGTCCCCTCCAGGTGTCGAGAATTCAATCAGTCCCCGTTAGACTCAGGCTGCCCTCCAGGGGTCAGCTAGAGCCGTGGAGACATGCTGGCAAGACAAGGACCAGCTCAGCAGGTGACTGGGTGGTCAGGTGGTGGGAAGAGGCCGCCTCTTGGGGGTGGGATGCTGGGGAGGGGTCTCCTGTTGGCATCTGAGTCGGTGTGGGAGGTATGTGTTAGGCAGTGTCAAGGTCTGCCCATCCCTCAGCTGGGGACACCTGTGGTCTCAGGAGAGGGCAGGCAGAGGAGAGGCGAAAGTGCCACGGGCATCTGTGGACGCAGCTCCCGGCAATGCAGCGGCCTCACAGAGACCTGTGCAGACCCAGGACAAGACGGTCCTCTGTGCCGCCCGCTGATACAGACACACGCAGCCCACAGCACCTTCCTCGGGCCTGCCCAGCTCTGCTCTCGCACCCTCACTCCAGCGTGTCCACACCCTGTGGCTGCTCTCTCTCACTGCTAATGCTGTTCCCACTTCCGGTCTCTTCCTTCCTTCTGCCTCTGCTCACCTGCTCGTCTGTCGCTGCCTGCCTCCCACCAGCCCTGCTCTCCGTCCCTACACCTCACGGCTCCTTGCCCTTGCCATTGCCTCCCCTACTCTGTGGCCAGAGGCCCAGGTATCTACTGCCTGTGGAGGATGACTCCCACCCAGCTCAGCCTCCTCTGTAGAGCCAGGGGCCTGGGCAAGACTCAGAGCCTTGGAGGACATAACAGGCAGGGGTGAGGTTTCCTCACGGCTCTGTGGTTGTGGCAGGGCCCTAGCTCCGTCCCAGCATGCCCACATCCACCAGCCACTGCCCTCAGGGACAGCCTAGTGGCATGGGGATGGGGGGTGTCTGTGTGCATCCCTGATGTGACTCAGGAGGCCTGGAGTCCAGACCAGAAGCAGGTGGAGGTGGGCCATGAGGTAGCTGCACCCACGAAGTCCAGCAGAAGAGCAGGAGTTGTCCATGCTGGCCAGCACCCCCACCAGTCTTTAACTCTTGGGAGAACAGAACCAGAAACCCGAGTAAGTCAGAAGCAGAATGGCGTTTCCCGGTTCCACCATAGTCCTCTGATACTCACTCTCACAGCCCGCTGGGCCTCTCTGGTTCTGGATGGAAGTAGGCGGCAGCAGTGACAGAGAAGGAACCCGGCGGAGCAGCTGTGGGGCTGAGCTGCCCAGGTTCCCAGGAGTGGGGTTGGCCAGTAGCTCCCGGGGGGCAGTCCTCTCCCTCTGACCTGCACTGAGCCTGCCCTTGTCAGGGGCCAGGGCAGCAGCCAGATTCCTGGTGACGCACCAGGAGCGACATGCGGGAGAAGGTCTTGGCACAGCGCTTGCACTGGTACTTCCTGGTGTCAGAGTGTGTTTGCAGGTGGGCCCGGAGATTGGAGCGGTCGGCAAAAGCCCTGCTGCAGTGAGAGCAGGTGTACGGCTTCTCACCTGGGGGAGGAAGAGGAGAGCCGGGTGACCATCTGGTTAGTCACCAGACCTAGCCCCGGGTTCATGGGTCCCTGTTTATAAATTAGTAGCGTCGTGCTCAGCGAGGAGTCTGCTTGTCTGTTTCCCTCTCTCTCTGCTCCTTCCCTGGCTCAAGCTAAATAAATAAATAAATAAATAAATAAATAAATAAATAAATAAAATCTTTAATATAAATAAAAAATAAATGAGTAAGCCCCTCTGGCTCCTCCAAATGCCTATTCCATTGCATTTATTTTCCTTTAGCCCCTTTCCTCCCCAGGAGATACCTGATGGGGCCTCAGCACCTGCTCCAGGAGGAAACCCTAGGACCAGCAGGTCCATATGCATGGTCAGGGTCAGAGCCTGGGAACAAGGGAACAAGGTGGAAGGTCACACCCCGCAGGACTGCAGCATCTAAAGCCTTTTCTCAGAGGAAGATCTAGCATAGGTCTTTGGTGGGTCTCGCATGGTTGTTAGATCTTTCTGTTTCTGCCAGAGCCCTCCTGGGCCCTTTGCCCAGATCTGCCCCTAACAAGCCCTGGGAGCCTTTCAGCAGGTGTTCATGCCCATGGAAGGACAGTGGTGGCGGCAGCCAGGCTCCAAAGTTGGCTGTGAAGGCGGACTGGAGGGGATGAGCCCCAGCCCTCACAGGAGAAGCAGCTCTGCTTCTTTTAGGAATGGCTTAAGATCCCTGTGGTCTGTGGGGCATCTCCAATCAGGGCGACCCGGGATTTGGACAAAGTCATTCTGTTGGGAGCTGGGCCCCCAGGATGACTCTAACAAGTGTAAGGGGGCCTCTGGGGGCTCATCTGCTCTCACTGCCCATGTGAGAGGCACTAGCCTGCAGTCCCCACAGGCCCCCAAATGTCTCATCCCTGCCACTCAACACTCCATGACCGATGGGATCCCTGGGTGGCGCAGTGGTTTGGCGCCTGCCTTTGGCCCAGGGCGCGATCCTGGAGACCCGGGATCGAATCCCACGTCGGGCTCCCAGTGCATGGAGCCTGCTTATCCCTCTGCCTGTGTCTCTGCCTCTCTCTCTCTCTCTGTGTGTGTGTGTGTGACTATCATAAAAAAAAAAAAAAAAACACTCCATGACCGAGAACACTGAGCTCCTGATGGTGTGAGGTGGGGTGCTCACTGACACCTTTGGGGAGGAGCCTCAGAGAACCCAATGGAATGTCAGCCCAGGGAAGGGCTCCTGAGAAACCCTCCTTTCAGCTTCCACCTGGAAGTGGCTCGGAAGAGTCCTTGTTCCAGAGCCAGGACTCAGAGCCAGGGAGGATCCAGGCACAGGAGGCTGTGTTGCAGCCAAGGGCCTCGGCCTCCAATCTGGTTCCTGGGCTTCTGTCTGTGGCCGCCTGTCCCTCTCCTGCTGAGCCTGGGCTGTGGTGCAGTTCAAACCCCTGCCCTGGGTCAAGCAGTGGGCAGCTATATCTGGTCTATAGACCAAGTGCTTAGGCTCCTGGGCCTCCTTCAGGTGTGAGTGCTCATCCCCCCCCTTCCTTGGCTCATCTTTGTCTGTCTGTCCATCCGCCAGCAGCTGCCCTTCTGTCCCTTCCTGTGCTCTGGTACCCTCTCACCAGGGATGACTTTGCTCTGGGCCCCAGTCCCCTGCCAGCATCTGTGCTCTTCAGTTGGTCTGTGGGACCCCCGAGGTTGCCACTCAGAGGCACGTCTGAGATTTGGACAAAGTCCTTCTGTTGGGAGCTGGGTCCCCAGGACAACCCTAGCAAGTGTTAGAAGGCCACTGGGGGCTCATCTGCTCTCACTGCCCGTGTGCAGCGGCATCCAGTCCAGCACCCTGTAGAACCCTGAGAGGCACCAGCCTTCCTCCCTCCCCTGTTCCTGCTGCTCCAGAGTTCCAGAAGGCTGGGGAAGGTGACACAGCAGACCCACCAAAGCCCGCTGCATCCTGTCCTCTGCTGGGTGTTGTGGGCTGCACTATGTCTCTCAGAAATGATATGTCTATGTCATAACCCCATTATCAGAGAACAGGGCATCTGCAGATGTGGTCAGGTTAACACAGGGTCATTGTGCCGGAGGTGTCCCCTGGTCCAGTAGGACTGGTGTCCTTACAGCAGAGGGAAAGGTGGACGCGCACACAGGCAGAGGCCACATAGACAGTGGCAGGGATGAAGGGATACAGCCATAGTGGAGGGACCCCTGGGTCCCCAAGAGCAGGGAGCAGTGGGGAGAACCGTCCCCCTGGAGCCCCCAGGGGGAGTGCGACCCCACCGATACCCTGTCTGCAGACTCTGGCCTCCAGGGCTGGGAGTCCGGTCTGTGGGACTATGGGAACTGGGACACAGGGAAGCAGAAGCCTCGTATGAGAGTCCATCCTCTGTTGGTAAGATCGCCCCTCCCTTCTCTCCTAGCCCCCAGGCATCACCCTGGCCCCCAGAAGATGCCTTCTGTGACCCACCTGTGTGGGTCCGGATGTGGCCCTGGAGCAGCCAGGGCCGGGAGAAGGCCTTGCCGCAGATGGCGCAGGGGCAGGGCAGCGTGTGTGTGCGGATGTGCATCTTGAGGGCGCCCAGGCTGCTGTACTCCTTGTCGCAGTACTTGCAGGTGAAGCATCGGGGCGCCCGCAGATGGCACTGCAGCTCCCGGTGCCTGGCCAGCCCGGCCAGCGTGTGGTAGGGCTTGCGGCAGTGCAAGCACTGGAAGCCGCCTGTGCCACAGGGTGCCCGTTCAGCCGCCCGCACTCTGTCTGGAGCTGGGTCCCCGGCGGGGCCCAGGGTTGGGGGCCACCGAGCAGGCAGGACCAGCAGCGGCGGCAGGTTGAGGTGGTTCAGGCTGTCTTTGAGGGGTGCACTAGGGGCCCGGCTGGTGCAAACATGTACCCGGCCGACTTCCAGGGGGTCTGGCCCAGGGGCCTCCCGAGCTTCTTCATGACATGGAAGGGGCAGGGAGATGCGGGCGATGACGGAGGTGCGGTCCCAGGGCTGGGGAGGGTCACCAGGTGTGGAAGAGGCCACCTTCTCCGGGAGGAGGAGGGGCACCACCAGCCCCCTGCATGCAGAGCAGGCACCATCAATGTCTAGAAGGGAGGGCGGAGAGAGAATGTGCGGGTGAATGTGAGCCCCAACACACTGTCCTCAACCTTGCCCTTCTGGGCCCGATCACAAGCCTGTCTTCTAGGTTGTCAGCAGTTCTGCCCGAAGGGGGGGTGCTGACAGGTGGAATGTCTGCTTCGGAAGTGACCCCAGGCTTGGGCTCTAGAGGAGAGGCCCCAGTGCTCTAAAAACAAAGGGGGAGAAGTGCCTTATGGGATCCCAGAATAGCCCTCATGGGGCCTCAGGAGGCTCCCCTCTGGCAGGGCAGGCCTCTCTGACCCCCATCCCACCTTGGAGCAGCGGCACTAAGCTCCTACAGCGCTCATTCAGAACAAACACCTGGCAGCGGGCCACCATGTGTAAGACACCTAATCATCCCCGATCGCCATTCACCATGGTGATGTAGGTACACACAACCTCCCACCAATGCACCTGGGGGAGCGCTGTCCTCAGTGGTGCCACCATGGCCTCCAGGGCCAGAGTGTCCCCCAGCTGTCTCTCCCGTACATGTGGGCCAGCAGGCCGGTGCTTGACCACATGAGAGTGGCAGGAGCTCCCAGAGTAAACAGGCTGGCAGGTAGTGGTTACATTCTGTATTACCCCCAAGCCCAAATCTCCAAACAGCAACCAACCCATATCTTACTCCAGATGTGTTGACATCAACCTCTGGCCTCATTTCTACCTCCATGCCAACCAAGGATTTGGGTAGAGAAAGACAACTCGCAGATTGGGAGAAAATATTTGCAAATCACATTTCTGATAAGTAACTAGCATCCACAATATACAAAGAACTCTTGCAACTCAACAATAAAAAGACAGATAATACAATTTTAAAATGGGTAAAGGATCTGAATAAACATTTCTCCAGACAAGATGTGCAAATGGCAGGGTGCCTGGCTGGCTGGGTTTGTAGATCATGTGACTCTTAATCACAGGGGTGTGAGTTCAAGCTCCATGTTGGATATAACGATTACTTAAAGAGAGAGAGACACACACAAAGGGCTAACAACCACAGGAGAAGATGCTTGCCACCATTAGCAAAAAAGGAAAAGCAAATTAAAGCCACAACGAGATACTACATCATGCCCACTAGGATGGCTAGAATTAAAAACAGCCAATTACAAATGTTGTTGAGGATGTAGAGAAATGGGGACCTTTAGGGAAGATTTCCACCCTCCATTCTGTCCTGACCTCACCCCTTACTCCCCTAATTATAAAATAGCACACCAAGTTTGTGTCCTCCCAGAAAGAGGGAGTGGGCAGTGGCAAGCTAAGAGGCAAAGGCTAAGGAAGTTCTGGAGAGACAGCCCTGGGATGCCTGGAGAGCATAGGACCCCGCAGAAGCCCCACTAGTGGGCCTTTCCACTGGGAAAAAAAAGTCACCCTTCTTAAGTCTCTGGGATGCAGCCACCACCCTGGCCCCAGGATCGCCCGAGCCAACCCCAGGGTGAGGGCAGGGGAGTGAGACAGCCTCGCTGGTGGCACCGCCCAGGCTTCTGCTAGTTCTTTAAATGCCTCCCCTCCCTCTGGGTCTGCTTGATCTTGTTATTGGTCCTGGGATTCAAATTCCCGGGAGAAGAGGCTTTCCATCTCCTCTGGTTTCAGATGCTCACTGGGGAGGCCTGAAAAAGCACTTATTCAAAATGAGAATGAGGGGCCCCAGACCCAGCACCTTGGTCTCCCCTGAGATAACATCATGGCAAAAAGAGGCTCACAGTGGTCACCTAGCTGTCCTAGCTGTCCGCACACAGAGGGAGTGACAGCTGGGGGAGAGGGGATTGAGTGCCACAGGGCTGCTCTCTGACACTTGTCATTGGCTCCCCTCCCCATCTGTATGTACAAAGGGTGAAGCGGGGTGCACTGTACGACTGGACTCTAATCAATAGGTTTGAAATGTGAACAACTATGTCCCAAACAAAACTTTCCTTTACCTGAGCCCCGCACTCTGACGGTTTCTGTTCTATTTCATTTTATGAAATTGCTGGTGGTGACTCATTAAATTGATCTCAAAATGCAGAGATCAGGAGCACAGTCCTAGGAAGCACCCCCTGACGGCAGTGCGCCTCAGGATGTATCAGTGAGGCGCCCTCCACTCCTGGGCCACCCCAGTGTCCCTCCTCCCCTCTCCCCTGAGCCACCCAGCAGTTCCATGGGGCACTTTACTGCAAGACGCTACTGAGCTGTGGGGAATGGCTCTGGTCCTGGAACCTTTCTGTGTCCCCACACCCAGCAGGGAATGGGAACACATGGACAGTCCTGGGTCCTGGACCTGGGTCTCCCCACCGAGCCACCCTGGGGGCTGGGGGAAGGCCTGTGGCTCCTGAGCTCAGCCTGCCCTGGGGAACCCCCGCTGGGGTGAGGGGAGGTCCAGGGCAAAGTGATCACAGGAGGGGTGAGGAAGCTCTGGAGGGTGTGGAGAACGCTACAGGAGCTGGGCCTTGGGACCCAGAGGCGTGGGTCACCCTCTGGTCCCCTCTGGATGCTCTGGGGGAGCACCTGGACACCAGCCCCAAGCCCCCTCCATCTCTGCGCCCCCACCCAGTCCCTGGAAGGAAGATGGCTCCGGGGCTCCCTCAGCTGGAATGGGTTCCCCAGGGCGCACGGGGACGGCCCGAAACTTATCTAAGTGGGGGGAGAACCCGCGCCTGCTCAGCCCCTACGTGGACGAGGCACCCTCGGGCCACCCAGCCACCCGGCTCTCGCCCCCGCTCCGGGGCAAGGTAACTGGTTTCCTCGCACCTGGGGCGGGAGCCCGAGGGGCCCGGCAGCCCCTACCTCTCTGCGTCTCCAGCCGCCGGTACTTGGGGACCTTGTGGCTGGAGTGCGTTTTCACCAGGAAGGAGCGCGGCATGGCCCCCGGCGGGTGCGGGTCCCCCTGCGCGTCCGCCAGGCGCCCGCGGGCTGGGCGGCCGGCAGGTGGCCCGAGGGCCGGCTCATTAGCATAGCGCGCCTCCGGGGCCAACCAGCGCGAGGCGTGGGCGGGGCGGGGCATAGGGGCGGGGCCGATGGGCGGGGCTTCGGGGCCACGCCCAGGACAGGTGCGCGGGCGCGGGGGAGGGAGCGCGTGGCCACCGAGGCCTCCCCACGGGACCGGTCTGGCGCGCGCCGCGAGTCACACCGACCCCTGGGGCCTGGCGCACCCACTCGTCGTGGACGAAAGGGCGGAGGTCAGGGCTGGGTGCCAGCCGAGCCGGGCTCCCGTCCACGCGGCGGTGGAGGCGTGCTTAAACCCGCCACGGTAGGATGATGAACACGAACCCTGAACCCACAGCTGACCCGGCTGACCCGCCACAGCGGTGACGGTGTCAGCCGGCCCGGAGCGGGGGAGGCGGAGCTGGGGAGGGTTCCTTCCCTCTGGGGGCCTCCAGGAGGCTCATTAGGTTGGGAGGAAGGACACAAGCCGGAATTTTGAGGTTCCCAGGAGTTCTGAGCAGCAGTTACGGGAAGTTGAATCAAAGAGGGGGAAGCCACGCACTCTGCAACAGCCTACTCTGTGACCCTGGGCAGCCATGTCCCTCCTTCAGTGCCACGAAGAGCTGGACGAGCCACATCGGAGTGTCTGGTCCCTTTTGATATGGCCATTTCAGGGCTTCCGGGGTCCTCGGGGCATGCTCTGGGCGGTGGACACAGCACCAAGCCTGCCCCTGACAGCCGTGGGGCTGTTCCCTGGCCGTGCAGCTGCCCTGCCTTCCTGGGCGTGCCTTTGAAGCCGGTGCCACGTGCCTGCCTGGGGCTCTCTGGCAGCCCTGGGCTTGGGTGGCGACGAGGTAGACTCGGTGGCGTGAGCCTGTGGAAGGCCCTCTGGAGAAGCAGTGGGTGGGGACGGTCATGTCAACTCAGGGTCTTATGTTCCTGCAGTGTTACAGACGAGGAAGCGGAGGCTCTGAGCAGTTAGGAAGTGGGGGATTGGGAGCCAGGCCCACACTGCCAGCCTTACACAAGGCGTGTGCTCCCCTGTCTGTTGCTTGGTGGGAGCGTGGAAGGCCAGGTGGTGCGTGAACAGAAGGCACCGTGTGCTGTGCGTGTGGATTTCAGAGGACACGTGGCTGCCTTTTGCTTATTCACCTGTTCTGTGGCCTCGCAAGCTTTCTATTTATACCCTCTTCCTTCTTCCCCCTCCCAGAAGTAGATGAGGCTTGCAGGCACCTAGGCCAGCCTGCCCCTGCATTGTCCCTCCCCACCCGGTCACCCACTGTGTGGCCACCAGCCAAGAGGATGTCCCTCATCCCCAGAGAGATGCTCACACCATTTAGAGAAGCTTGAGTGTTCTGATCTCGTCCTGGAAATGCCCCTGGGATCCTGAAGGTCCTTGGAACAGCTCTGGGGTAAGGGCAGCGTATTCCTTTCCTGGGGCTGCCATAACAACTGCATAACATGCAGTGAGTCTGCATGCCCTCCGTGGGGTCATGCAGACTCACTGGTTGTGACCACAGGGCTGTGTCCATGTAGGACCCACGGAGGAGAATGCTGGCATCTGCTTGTCCACACCTGTACAGTGCTGGAGAGGGGGTGTGGCTGTCCCCATCCATTCTCACTCTGTGTCCTTCTATCGTAATTATGGACACTTTACCTGGCAATTAAGCCTCACAGCTGCCCATTCCCACCAGTTCCCTCCTGGAACTCTCCCTCTTTCAACCAGAGCAGGACTTGCAGGAACCAGAATCTGTGCTTTCCAGAAGAAGTCACAGCAGTCTTCCTTTGACACCTAAGACCCTGGGGGTGACAGCTGGCCGAGAGCCAGGCTGTGGGCCCCGCCTGTGTGCTTCTAGCAGCAGCCTGAGTAGCGTTTCCAATCGGGATAGGCCAGATTGTTACAGTTCTACCTAGATATTTTCTCTTTTTATGTGTATGTCTTCTAGTCTTTCTGTATGCCTTACAAAGAATAAGATGGGGAGTGCTTGACTCTGTGTACGTAGGTCCATATACATCTGCATCCCCGCTGTGTGCTCATTTTTCACTGTTTCATGACCCAGTTTGGAGGGCCCTGTTCCCCGTCAGACTGCACCCCAAGAGAAGTCCAGCCCTCACCCCTGCACAGTGGGCTTTGCAGTGGTTGCTGGATGAGATGGAGAAGCGTCAAGAACCCCCAAACAGCGCAGCTGCTGGCAAGCACATCCCTGGGGGTGGAGGGGAGTGAGCCTCTGTGCTCAAAGTGTGGACATATCCATGAAGCACAGGCCCCAGGGACTGAGACTCTTGGAACAGTGCTCAGAGATGGACTTCACAGCTGGGGCTCGGCAGTCCCAGGACCCCAGACAGATGGCCCCTCACACCTGCTTCAGTGCCTGGGGGTGTTCATTGAGGTGTGGGCATGGCTGGGATACCTTGACTTGGGGCACCCTCATAGCCGTCCAAGGTCATGGATTTGTGGAAACTGAGACCAGATGCTCCAGCTCCCACATCTGGTCAGATTGATGGTCATGTGTGCTTGGTCAGCCCCAGAGGCCTCTTATAGCTGATGCTGGTTCTTCAGCTGGGGTCCAGGGGAACACTGTCCTGCCCCACACTGCTTATAAGACATGCAAGAGAGTCCTAAACACCTGGGGGCATGCTGTTGGGTGCTGAGGGAGGTGGTCTTAGGGGCTAGGGTGCAAGGAGAGAAAGCAGTGGGGGAACAAGCAGGGGTGCATGTACATTAGGCTGTGTCCTGCTGCGTGTGCTTGTGATGCATGTGTGTGCACATGTGTGTGCAGCTGCAGGAGCTGTTCCCATGTGACACAGGTGTCAGGCATCAGCAAGGAGGCCCAGGACCTCAATGAGAGGAGTTGGTCGGGTCCACAACGGGGTTACTCGCTGACCCCACTGCCTCTTCCTTGCACGCTGGAGCTGACTCCTCATTCCCAGCAGGTTGTTAGAGACAGAAAGGGCCACCTGTCGGGCAGCTCTCAGTCACTGGGAGGGGCTGGAGTCCCCTTCTCGCAGACCTGCCCCCACCCAGGCCTCCACACCTCTGCATGTGCTGTGCTTCTCGCACCAGACATCAGGGGTGCCAGCAAGCGCAGCCTCTCCTTGGAAGCACAAACCTCTGCTGCAGCTTCCATCAAAGGTGCCAAACTCAGCCGCCAGATACCCGCCAGGTATGAGCCTTCTGGGTCCCAGGTTCAGACTTTCTGGAAGCCACTGACTGCAGGGCACAGCCTGAAGGAGTCAGCAGCCAGGGCTTTTGTGTCCAAAGTGCCTTGTGTCCTCTGCGGGGCCGGGTGGCTGGCTGCTGTGCTCTGCAGCCAGCTGGGGTCCCTGGGGCCAGGTCAGGGCAGTGGGCCAAACTCTGAAAGGTGCTTAGCACCCCCATACCAGGTGGTGGCTACAACACCTTCCAGAAATCCAGGAGGCCACCGGGGACAGCTGTGAGCAGAGGGACAGGCCCAGGAGCTCCTGCCCCTTGCAGTCGAGTGGAACCATCATCCTGCCCAGAAGAAAGGCGGCTGCCCAGCTCCTCCCATCTCGGCCCCCGCTGAAGACAGCCTATTGGTGCCCTGCTGCCGAACAGCACCCGGAGCTCAGACCATCCGCTCCTGCGAGACACAAGAGCAAGAAGTGCAACCAGTTCTCAGGGACTTGGGGCTGGCAGGTCCTCTGCAATCTGCACGTCCTGCTTTCCTGCAGGTTGCCTTCCAGGGCCCTTCCTAACATAGGTTGTAGGACCCCCAGATCCAGAGATGCTTTTAGGCCGCAGGGTGCATGTGGACTCCTCACCCACGCTGTGGTGCACTCTGGGTGGGGGCACCCCAGAGCATAGGGCTGTCTGACCTTGTGGCAGTGGGGAAGATAAGCTCCAGTGGTCATCAGCCCTTGTGTGTATCAAGCTGGGAGGGAACCCTGACTTCCAGGAAGTCCCGGCCTAAAGCACATGGGTATGTGTGGGGATGTGTGTGCACGTGCACATGAGTATGAATGTAGGTGCACACATGCACATGGCAGGAAACCCTGGAGGCAGCCATGCTGATGTACAAAGTGGCCTGGCAGGAGGGGCCTCCTCATTCTCATTGGACACACGGGATTCACATGAAGACCCATGGAGGCTGCTTGTGCTGTGGCTTTCAGCTGGAGTGTCCCTACCCCGACACCGTGGGATTCAGAGATCCAGCTCACCTACATACCACGTGCCATGTCGGGGTCCACTGATGCCCTCCCCTGGGGAGACTGTCCTGGGCACCGAGTCACTGGGCCGGGGGTGTGTTCTGTGTGGCCCCATCGGCCTGGGCCTAGGTGGTAGGGATGAGAGGCCACGTGTGGACACTATCCTGTGGCTCTTGCCCCGTGGCTATGCGAGGGGCCAGAGCTCCACAGTATCCTCACCACACCTGCTCCCTGGAACTGGTGTCCTCAACCTGATGGGGCTGGATGCTCCTACTGAAGGACCTGAGGGGTGGCCAGCTGTCACCACCCTTCTGAGGGGCTGCTGGTGGGGACTGCTGTGGTCTCGAGCTCTGGAGACCCACCTGCTTAGAGGAAGCACACAGCACACAGCCCTGCCTGGGGAAGCAGCTCTGGTGGCCCAGAGCACCATGTCTGCATCGACATCCCATATTTAAGTGACTCCTTCTGCCCTCTAGCCCTCTAATGAGGCTGGGTGCCAAGGGCACATGCTGGGACAGTGGGAGGATGCCCAAGGAAGCTGCAGAGTCGCAAGAGCTAGCTGTGGGGCTTTGCCCTGGGGGCACCCACACTCCCTGCAGGCCACCACGGCCACATCTGGGCCCCAGAACAAGCCTGAGTCCAGCCTGCTAGCTTCCGGGGGACCCCATCTCATGATGAGGAGGGGATGAAAACCACACCACCTGGCAAAACTTTGCCAAGATTTGTCACCAGGGATCAGATGTGGTTTGCGAGAGGATGTGTTCTTGGGGAGCCTCGGGCTAAGGAAAGCCTAGGGAGGCGGGCAGCACCATCCCCCACCATGTGGCCAAGCCAAGTGCCTGCAGACAGAAAAACACCTGCAGGAGGTCATGGCTGTGCCTCACTCCCCACTGTTCACCCTTCCAGATGAACCTAGCGGTCACGGCTGCTATAGACGCTTCGAAATGTTTTATTGGAGTTTTTTTTAAAAGAGCAATTAATTTATGCCGTGAACTGAAAGAGTAAGACGGCGTCTTCCAGCCTCACCCATCCCCCCCAGGGTGCCCTACCGACACGGTTTGTGGTCCGCAGGGAACGGACAGCAGGGCTGGGGCTGGGACCCCAGCGGGAGGAGGCCTGCGCTTCTGGGGGGGCCGTGGAGCAGAGGAGCAGCCACTGCACGCGGCCAAGGGCCCTGGGGGTTCTTCCTGGCGGTGAGGAAGGGGAACCTGACAAAGCAGCCCCAGGGGACTCAGCAGAGCAGTGGTCCCAAGCAAAGCCCCGGGGTGCACTCTGGCTCTGGTGTCTGTACCTCTCTTTCCCTCTCCCATGCTGACCCCACGACTGTTTTTGTTTTTTTTAAAAAATATAATTTTGTAAATGTTCCATAAAAATACTATTGTTCCTAGTCAAACACGGGTATTGCAATGTGAAGAGTAACTGCTCGGTCTTTGCACTATAAAATATGAAAAGATCATCACACTGGATAATATAGAAAAATGCCAGAATTTCTAGGTATCACAAAAGCCAGTACCGAGTGCGCAACGTGGAAGCGCTGCCAGATACCGGCCAGGACTCCCCTCGCACTTCCTGCTTGGCAGCCAGGCCTGCGGGACGTGGCGGGGGCGGCACGGGTCTCTCTGCAGACATGGAGGACAGCATGGCTTTGAGACAGACAGACAGATGGCCGACTGCTCTCAGGCCCCATGAGCCGGCCCCATGAGGGCAGCCCACTTAGCCCAAAGCACCGAGGGAACCAGCAACGCTCGGCCAGGAGCACTGATGGCCACCCTCCAACAATGAGGCCCCTGGCAGGCTCGGGGACAGGCTGTCCTGCAATGACAGAGGCTCCACTTGTCCCACAGGTGGGTTCCCACACAAGCGCTGGGCATCAGAGGGCCTGCATGGCCGTGTCCCTCAGGGTGGCTCCGTCCCCCGAGGTGGGAGGGCTCAGGTCCAAGGGCTGGGCGGTGCCTTCAGTTCTCGGAGAGAGACAGGGCTAGGGCAGCCTGGAAAGCAGCCTCCTCATCGATGCTGTAGTCCTGGAAGATAGGCAGTGAAGATGAGGGGATGTACTGGCTGTCTCCCAGGGCCCCCAGATGGAACAGCACATTCAATGCCATGGGGTCGCTGCCTTGACAGCCCTAGGGGACAGGCTGCCCACACATGTGATCCACATCTGGCTTGTCCATGTTCTTCACCTCCCCAAGGGCACAACGGGGCTCCCGCGCAGCATGCTACATTGCAGACACCTGCCTGGGGACTGAGCACCCAGTGCGCCGATGGGAGGAGTGAACTCCTTCACCTTGGACTACGTGCACCGGAGTTGAGATGAACTGAGAAGACAGGTATGTCCACGGCCCCTGGTAATGAGGACCGGGGCGATGGGGCCGGGAGGGTCTGTAGGCTGGGGTGTGGGGCACGGTTTCTGGGCCACAGCATGCAGAAGGAGACAGGGCCCCTGCAGCTCCTCTCCAAGCTCCAAGTAGGAAGCTGTTGCCTCTGCAGGCCTGCTCTGTCTCCAGACCACTGTGGGCCCAGTACAGGGGAGACCAAGCAGAGCAAAGGGGGGCCCTAGTGGGACTGCTCTGCGTAGCCCTAATGCCCTTGGGCGGCCGGGCAGAGTGGGCACGGCTAGCGTGTGTGTTGGCGGGGCGGCCAGGGTGGGACACCCACCACAAAAGTGTCGTAGGAGAACTTGTGCCGGTGCAGGAGGTGCTGCAGGAAGTTGGCGCTCTTATAGCTGGGGTCCCCCCAGGGCATTGCAGAGCAGATGGGGCACACCTGAAAGAGAAGGTGCGGCTGAAGCAGCGCTGGGGTTGGGGCCCTCCAGCGTTCCCATCCCCCGGCCCCTGACCCCAGTGGCCACTCACCACGCGGTTGGGGTCACTGCGATGGTTGTCCACACAGTGCTTCAGCAGCTCCTGCTGGTCCAGGTTACGGGCGCCACAGTAGGGGCAGGTGAAGGTGGACCTGTTGGGGACGGCGCTGGGGCGGTGGTGGGAGATGAGTGGGGACCGACCACCTGTGGTATGGCCCACCCTGGCCTCCCTGCCCACCCTGGCTCCCCCCTAGACTCTGTGGCCCATCCCTTCCCCCCACCTGGCTGGGCCCTGGCCTTTCTGGGGATGCCTGCCCACCCTGTTGGGCCCTCCCTGGGGTCCCCTTCCTGCAAGGCAGTGAGGCTCTCTGCTGAGGAGACATAACAGCCTCTTACACCTCCTCTAGGACAGCAACATGGGCCAGGAGCTGCCCCTCCAAGGGACAAGGGCCCCGAGCACTCATAGCCAGCCTACCTGGGGATGGGCTGGGACGTGGGAACCACAGGGACAAACTTGGGACAGTTGGCCATTTGCTCCTGGACCTTCATGCAGGAGGAGACGTGCACCCTCATCTTGGCCAGCGTCACCTAGGAAGAGGCAGGGGAAGCTCAGAGGATTTGGGGACCAGCAACAGGGCCAGGACCCCAAAGGTCATGGTCATGTAAGCAGATGGGGACTTCACTCAGGGGCCTAGTGACCCTGGAGAGAGGTGGGGCTGGGTATGGTCCCCAGGTGTCCAGGGTAATGGGAGAAGGGCCTCCTGAGGGCAGCCTGGCTCCCAGCTCCACTCATGCCTGCCCCACTGGCCGGTGAGTGTGGATAAGCCCAAACATATTGTGGCAGAGCAGGGCCACTGTGTGTGGGAAGCCAAGGAGGGGCCTGGCTTGCTCCCTCCCAGGAGAAAGCCTGCCTGCCAAGGAAGGAAGCCAAGTGCCTCACTGCAGAACACGGGGTTGCCCCAGTCTGTCCAGACCCTGACCTTCAGGACAGAGCAACTAGGGGTCACCTCGTATCGTTATGTCTGTATTAAGCTGAGAGACAGTAGTCAGAAGGCAAAGTCAAGATCAGCTCCTGGGGCTGGGCCAGGGTGAGGGGCTTCAGGCAGGGTGCAGAGACAGGCCAGGATGGGTGGTGGTGGTCAGCACCAGAGAGGTCCCACCCATTCTGCCTGGGGCCCTACCCACTGTTGGCAGGGCTAAGGGTGCCGTGGGGAGGATGGGGGAAGGTGCCCTGATGTGAGTGGTGCTGCGGGGGAGGGGCAGAGCACAGGCCCCTCTCTGCCGGACAGGACAGCAGGACAGTGGGATAGGACAACAGGACAATGGGACAGGAGAGTAAGACAGCGGGGCAGGACAGTGGGAAAAGGCCCCCAGCTGCAGTCTCCCTGGCCCCAGGAGGGCCTGTGGGGTGGGGTACCTTCTTGTTGCAGCCCCTACAGGGTGCCTTGTACGACGAAAGCTGCTTCTCCACATGAGCGGCCTTGTCCACCTTCTTGGGGTCGAAAGGTAGGCGGCAGAGCGGGCAAAGGGGGGACGGCACCTGTAGGCACGGCTGGAGGCACTCCCCGCAGAACCTGCAGGGACAGGGATACGGGTCTGAGGGCCGCTGGCTGCTTTGAGCCTCGCAGGGCGGCTCCCCTCTGCTGGCCATGGCACCTTTCTGGAGACCGTCATTTCTCTCTCTCTTTTTTTTTTAATTATTTATTTATTTATGATAGTCACAGAGAGAGAGAGAGGCAGAGACATAGGCAGAGGGAGAAGCAGGCTCCATGCACCAGGAGCCCGACGTGGGATTTGATCCCTGGTCTCCAGGATCGCGCCCTGGGCCAAAGGCAGGCGCTAAACCGCTGCGCCACCCAGGGATCCCTCTGTTCTTAAATCCCACTGACTGGACAGCACCCCCTGGCTAAAAGATGATCTTGGTGCCCTCCCAGCTGAGGGTTTCTGGGGCTTGCTGCCATATCCAGGATGCCGGGGGAGTGGTGGCCATGGCTGTCCAGGTCCTGTTCTGGCCGTGCAGCTCCAGGCCCAACAAAAGCTCCAGCCATGGTGGGCAACCTGAGACAGCCTACCCGTCTCACAGCCATGTGGTGATGCCACCACCTCAGGTGCTCTGGGGACACAAGGGCAGCCCAGGGGGCTCTGGAGAATAAGATCAATAACAGTGTCGGGAGAGAAAAGCACAGGGTTCAAGGAGCCCAAGGCTGTCCAGGTGGAATGTCACCAGCCTTGTGACTGTGCTGGAGCCAAGGCGTGGTGACAGAAGGGGCCTTACTTGGGCTCTTGACTGCTTAGCAGTGACACTAATGGCCCCAGGCACACACTCAGGTACCTGAGGCTCCCTGCAGCCTTGAGCTCTTGGTACTGTCCCTGGAGATGCCACATTATGAGGACAGCCAGCAGATACGGATACGCTTGTGCCGCAGCAGCGAGCCCTCCTCCCTGCAAGCCCCCCAGTGCCGCAGAGGCACGAGCGGCATTCAGGCAGGAGGACAGCCAGTCCATAGGGATGCCAGGCTGGAGAGCACCCAATGGGCAGCAAAAAGGAGCTTGGTCCCAGGACCCCCCTGGCCTAGCTTCTTAGGGAGTGGATGATTAACTATGATCCTGATCTGGAATGTGCAGAAGCTGAAACGGAGTCCCAGAGCCCCAGACGAGAGAGCACGCAGTCCACACCCAAGACAAACTGAGCCCCTTCCGAGACTGCATGTGATGAGGGTGCTGCAACGTATAATCATCTGCATGCACCAAGCCGGTGGGGCTGTGGGGGCCATGGCATGTGAGGGTGTTCCCACACATACGGCTGCTCAGCAAGCTAAGTGGCTGGCATTCTCTCTGCCACCAGGCAAGCTCTCTCAGAGCTTCACCTCCTTCCCAGGAAAAAGCAGCTGGAGGTGATCCAGAGTCCCTCCTGCTGCCCAAGCCTGGGCCCTCCCCCTCCCTGTTGGCTTCCGGTAAAGCCCCACCTGGCTCGTCACCATGTGCACGAACATTTGCACAGGAGATGGCCTGGCTTGACCTGAGGCCTATCAGTGGATGTAGCTTTCCCAGCAGCTTCTTTCCCCCACGGCAAGGAGCATGGCCCGCCTGTCACTTACCTCACCTGGTGAGAACTCACTGGGCACCCTGGCACGTGTGTAAAGGAGGCACCCGCATACCCACCCCACAGCACTCTGGTAAGTGTTCCAGGGCTGCCTCTCTTGCCATTGCAAGGGTCTGATTAGCCTATCGGTTGATGGAGGCCTCTCACTTCGCCTGTCACTGAAGGAGAGCTCTGCGACTGTCACAGTGGGTGCTCATGGCAGCACCACCACAAGAGCCACGGGGTGGAAACAAGCCACGTTGCCCATGGCTAATGGACACACAGAAGTGGCCTATCCCCGGGGTTGAGTGAGCCACTGATGGATGCTGCCACGAGGGTGAGTCTTGGGAACGCCATGCTCAGGACCTGTGTTGTGTGACTCCGCGGACGTGGAAATCCAGACAGACCCATCGACGGACAGAAGGTGCATCAGTGGCTGCTGGGGTGGGGACTATGGGGTTTGCCTGCCCACGGAGATGGTGGCTCAACACTGGAGACTCCAGGAACCACTGACGTGTGTATTTCCAATGAGGGAATTATATTTCAACAAAGCTGTAAGACACACATGCAGAAGGAGAGGCCACAGGAGCACTCAAGGGATGAGTCCTTGGCACCTCGTCAGAAGGCAGGGTCCAGGGCAGGCCCGAGGACCACATCTCTGACAACAGGTTGGGGTGAAGGGCACCCCTCTGCCAGCAGAAGGAACCCTGCCTGAACCCAGATTCGCCTGCCCACCCCCCAGCTCTGCGGACCTCTGGAAGCACCATAAGCTGGCAGCCTGGTCTCCACACGGTGACCGTGGTGCTCTGAGCAGCGCTTGCCTCTTCCAAGGAGGTTCTGCTGACGTGGGCCCAAGCTGGGGCCGAATACCTCCCCCACTGACAGAGCCAGCAGAGGGGTCTGCTCCTCCACACCAGGCCCACAGTCACAGGTGAAGCCGCTGGACAGCGACCACACAGGCTGTAGTGGCACCAGCACCGCGTCTCAGTCCTGCGCTGGCCTCTTGCACACAGCCTGACGAGCTGCTGGTGCGGGGCCTCAGGGACCCAGAGTTGTCCTGCGTGGCAGCGCCCAACATCCACTGCCTTTCCAGGATGATCTGAACAGCTCACATCCTGGTCCACCCACATACAGATCTAGGTGACCTGCCCGTGGGCTCAGGCCTTCCCGTGCCGAACGGAGGCCTGAGCTCCTAGTCGGCCGAGCAGGGACTAACAGAATTCCTGGGGCTTCAGAGAGGCACACTCCTTGGTCTGGGTGCAGATGGGCAGAGGGCTGTCAAGGTTCGGTGGTCCCCAGGGTCTCCAGGGTCACTGCTGCAGGAGTGCTGCGTGGGGCGGGGAGTGGCAAAGAGGCCAGTGCAGCCTGACTGCCTGAGCGTACACCCTGGCTTTGCCGCGACACTTGGGAACTCGGCCTCTTGTACAACCGAAACGACAACAGCACCTACCTCACGAGGCTATACGTGCAGAGTATGCGGAAACCATCTGTCCTCATTGCTCCCCACGTTCACCCCTAAGTGTGAGCATGCCTGTTGTTCTGTGATCTCTGCTCAGTTAACTGCATGTGGGGATGCTGACATGGAAGGACCAATGGGACAGCCCTCATAAGAGAGGACAAAAGGAGAGCAGAGCCCAGAGGGAGCCCAAGGCAGAGCCTGCCTCAAACACAGGCCCTCAGGGGAGGGCCCAGCAGAGGGTAATAACTTCTGGTTCAGAGGTGACTTACTGTGCAGGATGTCCCTGAGTATGAGGAATAACTGGCTCCCTTGGGGGCGCCTGGGGAGCTCTTCCACGAGCCCCATGGATGGCGTCCTCACCCAAAACCCCCCACGGTGACCTGTCCTCTTCTGTTTGATATTGCTCACACGTGGCTGCTCTCACTACCAGAAACTCCGTTTTGTGGAGGCCACGTGTTTACAGCGAGACCATGTGGGACATGTGGCTGGACCGCCACCAGGTAGGTGTGAGCCTGTAAGTCTTCTGTGCTGGTACCTTCGTGACACCAGACAAGAAGATGAGGAAGAGGAAGAGACAGGGACAGAAGAGCCCAGAAAACAAGGCCGCCGAGGGAGCTAGAGGGGAAGTCTTCTAAGAAGGAAGCTGTGGAAGAGGTTTTCGAAGGACCAGTCTCAGAAACAGAAAAGACAGGAGATTCTGCCAAAAAAAACACGAGTGTGGGAAGGACTTAGAGGACATGATGCGTTCACAACAGTTTGACGCAGCGCTGTGTCCTAAAGACCATGTCTTAAGAAAAGACTTATCTGGAAAAAAGAGAAAACACAGATACACGCAAACCAGGAGACTGCAAATGCTGTGACCCAAGGTTGGGTGTCTGTGCCAAGGGGACACCACCCGAAAACTGAGAAAGACTCCCTAAAATGGGGCCCAGGATAAACCCCACAGTTCTCTCAGTGATGGATTGGAAATGCAGAACACACCTGAGAGCACCCACTACGATGTGCTTACAAGAAGGGAGTCCTGTTTGGAGGCTGCCCCAGACAAGGTGTGTGTCACACCCGCACGACAAAGTGAGGCACAGTGAGTGCCCTTTGTGGTCACTTGGAAGTGCCGTCCTGGTGTCCGGATGCCTGTGCTGCCTAACCCAGCAGGGAAGACGAGGGAAGGGAAGGGAAGGCTTTCCGGACGCTGACACCATCCCCAGGCGATGAGCAGCTCTCCTTTCTATCAGGAGCTTCCTAGGTCAGCTGCCCCTGTTTGCAAAATGTTCTAGGGGCAGCTCCCTGCTGGGCGCACCCCGCCCAACCCCTGGGAGTGGAAGCCCCACCTCATCAGGCCAGACCTTCCTGAGATCTCTTCCTGCCCTGCTGATTTCACTCAAGAGCTGTGTTACTCCGCCAGGAGAGAGTGGAAGAGGAGACACTAGGATCTCGGCTCCCTTCCAACCAGGCTGGCAGCTCCCGGAAGGCCCGAGTGCAGCTCTGGGCTGAGAGGAGAGCCACCTCCTTGGGTTTCTGTTGCTGAAACACCCCGGCAGGGCCCCACCGGAGGGCATGGTGCAGCTGACCCCCCAGCAGGGTGCCTGGTATCCGGTCCTCAGGGCCAGCCCGTCTCGTCTGGCTGCTCAATAATGGATGCGACCCAAGACCTTCATCAGAAAGGGCACCAGACTCCAAACAAGTCCCTCTCCTAACTTAGGGAACTCCTTGTCCCCTAAACGACAAGCAGACAGCGAGAGCGGGAGGCCGCTGACAGCAGGAGCCACGGGCACTGATCGACACGTGCCCCCCGCCCCCCGCCCAGGCTCCAGGCCCAGCCGAAGGCGACGCGCGCAGAGGTCGCCCGCTGCCCTCCGAACAGGAGGTGGCCGGTCGGCCGACCCCGGGGGCCCCGGGACGCGTGCGGGGCTGGCTCGGGGCAGGCGGGCAGGAGGCCGGGCCGAGGCGGAGGGACGCGCCCCGCCCAGTCCTCCGCGCGCCCGGCCCGGGGCTGCACCGGCGGCCGCCGCCCCCCGCCCCCGGCGGCGTCCCGGCCCCGCGGCCTCCCCGCGCCGGCGCACTCACGTGTGGCCGCAGCTGCCGATGGCCACAGGCCGGTGGTACACCTCCAGGCAGATCGGGCAGCTGTACTGCGCCTCCAGGCCGCTGTCGCCGCCCGCCGGCCCGCCCGCCGGCTGCCGCTGCTGAGCCGAAGCCACCAGGCTGCGGAACATCGCCATCCCCGGGCCGGGCCTGCCTCCTCCGCCGCCGCCGCCGCCGCCGCCGCCGCCGCCGCCGCCGCCGCCGCCGCCGCCGCCCCTGTTCCGGCCCGGCCGGGCCAGGTCCGCGCGTCACGGCCGCGACGGCGCCGCACTGACGTCATCAGGGAGCGCCCCGCCCCCGTCAGGTCGCGGCGCCGCGCCGCTGACGTCATTAGCCCCGCTCCGCCTGGGGCCGGCGCCGGCTGCGTCTGGCTGACGTGATCCGGGCGCGCCTCCGCGCCGCCGCTGCTGACTACGCGGCGACCCAGCGCAGACATGTGTCAGGTTGGCGAGGACTACGGGGACCCGGTGCCAGAGGGGCCGCCGCCACCGCGGCCTGGGTGAGAGCTGGGCGTCCGCACCCGCCCCTGCCCTTCCCGGCGCTCTGGGCCGGCGGCACGGCTCATCCCGGGGGCCCGGCCCGCGCTCCTCCGTCCGTCCCGGGCGCCGCGCCGCGGGAAGCCGGGAGACGGCCGAGGCCGGGGTCGCGGAGCGCCGGGGTGGGGGGGTGCCCCCTGCCCCGCAGCACCGGGGGCGCACACCCCAAGAACGGGCTGCCCTTGGCGCCCCCGCCCGCCGCTCCCATCCACTCGGCGGGCGGTCCCTCCCGCCGCGCCAGCCGTGCGGAGCCTGCGCCGAGGCCCCCGGTGCTCTCTGAGCTGGTTTAGCGCACGAGCCCCGCCCCTCCCGCCGCCCTGGTGGTTTGGGTGAGACGGAGCCCAGCTGCCCGCAGGAGCCCCGGTCCACCAGGGTGGGGTGACAGTGTAGTGCCACCTCCCCGAAGCCCGCGGGGTGGGAGCGCTGCAACCTGTGTGTCCCCCGCCCCCCTTGTCTCCAAAGCCGTGAGCTCAGATGTGTGAAGTGCAAGGATGGCCTACCGGTTGTGGTGATCCGAGCCGGAGACGCCTTCTGCAGGTGAGGCCTGGCGTGGGTGGGAGGCCGAGCCCTCTGGCACAGCAGCCAGGATTGCCCTGTTTATGTGCCTTTGTCTCTTGTGTTCAGAAGCATTTACTTCTGACCTCACTCAGTGATTCTGATGCGTGGGTTCCCGGTAATCCTCCTGTGGTCCCCTGTGGGCCAAGCGGCAGGAGGGTATCTGATGGCACTTATGGAGAATGTTGGTAGTGAGGGTGGGGTGAGAGACAGGCAGGACCAGCATTCGGGGCAGCTGGAACACATCTAGGGGCAGATTAGAGCATCCTGGGATCTGGGCCAGGTGCTCTGGTGATGTTCGCTTTTTTTTTTTTTTTTTTTTAATTAATTCATTCAAGACAGAGAGGCAGAGACACAGGCAGAGGGAGAAGCAGGCTCCATGCAGGAAGCCCAATGTGGGACTCGATCCCGCTACTCCAGGATCACGCCCTGGGCCGAAGGCAGATGCTCAACGGCTGAGCCACCCATCCAGGCATCCCTAAGACTTTATGTATTTAATTGAGAGAGCAAGGAGGGGGAGGAGCAGAGGGAAAAGAGGAAAGACTCTGAAGGAGATTCCTCACTGAGTGCAGAGGCCATTGCAGGGCCCTGTCCCACAACCCTGAGATCATGACCTGAGCCAAAACCAAGAGTCAGACACGGAACTGACTGAGCTCCCCAGGCACCCCTGGTGTGTCTTAGTAGGGAAAAGATAGTAGACTTAGGGGCATAGCCCCAGGTGTGGGGCAGCTCTCAGGGCACATTCTTCTCTTGGTTCAGGGAGCTTTCAAATGTAGGTGCCTGGGTCTCTCTCTGGCACATTCTGCCTGGTCTGTTTGGCCGGAGTGATTCTAAGCTGTGGCCAAGCCTGCGAACCAGGTAGAAGGTGACCAGGAATGCAGATTACTAGGGTCCGCCCTAGAAGTTCTGATTCAGTGGGTTTGAGGAAGAAGCCAGGACTCTGCATTTGCATGAACTTCTCAGGCATCTCTGGAGATGGTATCAGCTCAGTCGGCCAGTGTGGCGCTCTGGGACACAGGATACCCCCTGCTGCCTGTTCAGTGTTTCCACCCTCACCCCAAGAGGTGGTACCTCTCCCTGTGGGAGTTTGGGAAAGGGCCTTCAACTCTGCTTAGGGGAGGGTCAGGCTGGCCTTGCCCTGCACTTTCTTGTCCGTCCATTCTTCCCACTGCATCTTCCTGAGTGTTTGGAGGTGCATCTGGGCTCTGGGCCCCTCGGGCATCAGTTCACACTGGTAAGGATTGCTGGGGACCAAGGTGGGGCTCCCTGTGCAGCATGGGGCTGGTCCTGGGGTAGACACAGTTGGCAGGAACCCCACAGCCCTGGTTTCCCTTGCCAGTTTCTGGGCAGAGCCTCTGTCAAGATGCTGCTTTTAAAGATGGAAGTTGGTAAAAGAAGGAAAATATAACCCAGCAGCGTGTCAGGCTTTGTCCCCATCAGGTGTGGAGGTGGTGGCCTGGGCTATGCAGCCACAGCTTTCGGTTGTCTGTTGCAGGGACTGTTTCAGGGCCTTTTATGTCCACAAGTTCAGAGCCGTGCTTGGGAAGAATCGGTTGATCTTTCCGGGAGAGAAGGTAGTGTATGGGATGACTCTTCTGCAGAGTCCCCCCTGGGCCCTGGCTGTCAGCCCCTGCCTCCCTTCTCAGGGACGCTCATGTGGGGGATGCAGTCTCTCCAGTAACCTTCCTTCTCTCTTAGGTGCTCCTGGCGTGGTCTGGGGGGCCTTCATCAAGCTCCATGGTCTGGCAGGTCCTTGAGGTACTTCTCCACAGCATCTGGGGCCCTGGCTACCACCCAGCTAAGCTCCAGGGTTGGGGGCCCAGCACTGAAGGGCTCTTGCCTGCAGCTAGTGAGAGCAGCCCACCCCTAGCCAGGATGCCTGGAGGGTTCTCAGATGTGTATACAAGAGATATACAAAACAGAAGCTGTGTCTGCACTACTCAGCTGTGCCCAGTTTAGTAGTGTTCGCTGACTGTGTAGAATCATAGTCCCTGGGAATGTGTGGCGGCATGGTGGAACCTTGCTTGAGATGTTGCTGACTTCACGGGCCTCCCCCCTGGTCCTGGGTCCAGGACAAGACTGGACCGTGAAATACAAGCAGGTGCCTTGGGGAACCCAAAAGGGGCCTGCCTGGCTGGAGTTGGGCAGCTTCTCTGAAGTTTAAGGGGAGACCCAAAAGAGCAGTGGGCTTGGCAGGTGAAGTGAAGTCAGGTGGGGAGGGGGAGGGAAGAGGGTGCTCACTGGAGAGCTGTGCTCCAGGCAGTGGACAGCCCACTCAAAGACGGCTAGGGCTTCTCCTGAGGGCCCTGGCTGCCTCGGAGGCCTTGACCCAGGGCCGGGACATACACAGACCCGCTGCACTTACAGTGAGTGGCATGGATTTAAAAGGGTGGTCTGTACCAGGGCCTCTAGGGTGGTGCTTCTGTGGTTGCTGTCCTGCTCTCATTTCATGGCCTCCTAAACCTAGCCTGGTGCACGTGCCCACTCCCTTGGCCTTTTGTCTGGCACCTGGAGCCCCTCATTCTTCTAGTGGCAATGCCTTAATTATAGTCTGTTTTCCTCTTGCACCCTTAGGGGTCAGAGGTACTCAGGCCGCGCCTCTCAGGACATTACTAGGAGAGGTGGGAGGACAAACTGCTGTGGAGCAGGTCTCACTGGGGCGGTGAGGATGCCCCGGCAGGCCACTTGGACCAAGTTGGGCTGTGTGGCCTCCCCATGGGCCTTGATTGGCAGGCACCCTGTTTGAATGGTCTGTCTGCTCTAGGTGAGGGGTCACCACCCCTTCCTGGAGGACATTAGTTCAGATGGAAAACAGTTTGTGCTGGGAAAGGCATTGGCTTCTGACTGTGGGGCTGAGGTCCTGGTCCTTTTCTCTCCAGGGCCTGAGTCGAGATTCTGCCAAAAGACTGCGTTTTGTGCCAGGGGTCGTGTACGTTGATGGTATGTGTAGCCATCCCTGGTCCATTCCCAGCTGCTCAGGATGAGCCCTCCTGAGACAGCTGGCTTTGTGACCTAAAGGAGGCCCTGGTGGGGGCGTGTTTTGGAGACATCTCATGGGACTGGCAGCAAAGGCACCGTTGTCTTGTTTTAGCCTTATATCAGAGTCAGTCAGGAGTGTTTGTGTAGCCTCCATGGATCAGGAGGCATGGGTGGAAAGGGTCAGGCGCCAGATGCTGGCCTGCTCCGCCCCTTGTTCCCTGAGATAGGCTCCCAGATGGGTCTTGGCCACTGTGGCCGTCATGCCTCTCCCCGCTCCTCCCCTGTGCCCTACAGAGAACCCACTTCCCACTCTGCAAACACTTCCCTCTAGAACAGGTTAGCGTCCTATAGTTTCCACAGAAAAGCTTGGTAGTGCCTCACACAGCATTGGCCTTGTCCCATCTTCAGCTCTTCTGTAGCCATGACTCTTTTGTGCCTTAATTTTTCAGAGGGAGCAGCTTGTGGCCAGAGCTGGGAGAATAGAGCAAAAACCCTGGCTGAAGTAAAGCTGATCCTCCGGAGCTTTGGCTTCCCGTGGCACATCGTTGCCTTGGAAGAGGTGGGCGGGCCTGTCTCTGGGGGTGGGCCGCTGGGGCGTACTCTGAGGGGCCTGTGCCGATTTGCTGTGTCTTGCTGTGTCGGCCGTGGGCCTCCCCCTTGGCCTGTTTGCTCTCGGCACTAAGTGGGCCAGGCCTTATGCACTCTCCCTGCCCCAGAAGGTGTTCACCCTGCCGCCGTCTGTGCTGCGCTGCTCTGCCCAGGAGCCAGTGGGGACTGAAGGGACCTACAAGGTAGCTGTGGATAGTTTCCTCCAGCAGCAGCATACGGTGGGGGGCAGCCCCAGCCCCACACAGCAGGAGGAGCAGCTGAGCCAGCCCTGCACCCAGGACCCCCAGGACCCAGCTGGGCCACCCCCAGCTGCCCACATAGAGGCTCTCTCCCGACTGTTTGACTCTGTGAAGACGCTGACAGCCAAAGAGGAGCTTCTACAGACCCTGCGGTGAGCCCCTGTCCTCATGCTGGGGGCTTGGCCCTGCTTCATCTGGCCCCCTGAGACCCTGTGCCCTGCTCTACAGGGGCCACCTGCTCCTCCACGTGGCCCGGACCCACGGCTACTCCAAGGTGATGACAGGAGACAGCTGTACTCGCTTGGCCATCAAGCTCATGACCAGCTTGGCGCTGGGGAGAGGGGCCTTCCTCGCCTGGGACACGGTACATGGGTCCAAGATTTTCAGGGGCCCCTCCGGCCCCCATTACCTGAAGGTGGTGTCGTGAGTCCAGTCCCAGAGTCTCCCTTGTGGGAGCCTGTGACCCCCTTAGCTGCCAGGGAAGGAGGGGCTGTGAGCCGTCTGCAGGGCGAGCTTTGGGATGTACCCCCACTGCAGGGCTTCTCTGACGAGCGGCATGGTGACGTGGTGGTGGTGCGGCCCATGCGTGAGCACACACTGAAGGAGGTCGCCTTCTACAACCGCCTCTTCGCAGTCCCATCCATCTTCACGCCGGCCATTGACACAAAGGTGAGTGAGTGATAGCACCTGGGCGGGTGGCCCCCTTCTAGCATGGGGTCAAGCCGGCACACCTCAGTGGCCCAAGCTGTGTCCACAGCAGCTTTGTGGCCTAAGCACTGACAGCAGGATGCCCTGCCTTCTGGGAGCATGAGAATGGCGCTCCCCCTGCTACCACAGAAAGGTAGCCTGGTACCCTCGACGAAAAGGGGGCTCGCAGGGAGGTTGTCATAGCAGCTGTGGTCAGCGACGGGGACGGTTCAGAAGTGGCTGCTGTGGCTCCCTCTAGCCCTGACCCAGCACCTTTGGGGCTGATGGTGTGAAGCCTTGGCCTCCCTTCCTGATGGCTCCTTGGCCTGGCCTCAGAGTGCCGCCATTGCAGCCCTCATCTGACTATCTCTAGGCCCCTGAAAAGGCCAGCATCCACCGGTTGATGGAGGGCTTCCTGCTCCGGCTGCAGGCTCAGTTCCCCTCCACAGTCAGCACTGTGTACAGGTATATGCAAGTGTGGGAGGGGCTGGAGCGGTGTGCTGTGCCTGCCCCCTGCTGCGCGTGCTCTGGGGGGAATGAAGCTCCATCCTGACGGGTCTCCCACACCCACAGGACCAGTGAGAAGCTGGTCAAGGCTCCCAGGGACGGCTGTGCTGCTGGCCCCCGCTGCCTGCTCTGTATGTGCTCGCTGGATGTCGACACTGCTGGTCTGTGTGGATGGGGAGGGGCTATGACCAGTGGGAGCTGGGGGCGCAGCTGCAGGAGGACCCTCAGCCTATCTCTGCTTGCAGACAGTGCCACCGCTTTTGGGGCTCAGACCCAGGATTTTTCCCAGACACAGCCCTCCACCCCACTGGCTGAGGCTGGGGCAGCCCCCATGCCCTGCTGTTCTGCAGAAGTGGGCAGGGCCCAGAAGTGCTGCCAGAGTACCCTGCTGTGCAGAAGGTGAGTCCATTCCTATCCTGCCGCATAGCCAGCCCCCTGCTGCTGGCCAGGGTAGGGCCCCAAGCAGGTGTTCAGGTGCAGCTCTGCTCCCACAGGGAGGACTCCCAGGTCATCGAGCAGCTGTGCTATGGCTGCCGTGTGAATATGAAGGATGTGGTGAGTCCTTTCCCCACCTGGGGTACTGACAGGGGAGTCCCACTCCCAGGGGCTTGGTGCCACGTGGCCCCTCACCCACGGTGGTTCTCTGTTACAGCCATCTTTGGATTCTTTGCCACCTTACATCTTGGCTGAGGCCCAGTTCCGCAGCCAAAGGTATGAGCTAGCCCCCATGCTTGGGGAGTGCGGGTGGGTCCTGCTGGGCATCTGCACGTGCAGGGCAGGTTCCCAGTGTGTGGCTTCCCCCCAGGCCCTCGCAGGATATCCAGGAGTATCTGGTTGAGAACAGTGACGAGGAGGTGCACACCACTGGGAGCTGAGCCTGGGGCCACCCCAAGCAGGAGGGCAAGGATGGGCAAGCAGCATGTGATTGTATAAATAAAAACATTTTTAATTAGAAAATCCTACAGTACGCGTGGCGAAGGGAAGGCTGGCCCCCCTGACCCAGGGTGCCGGCTGTGCTAGGCCCAGCAGGGATGATGGAAGGGACCGGGGTCCTGTGCCGGGCCGAGGAGGGGCCCCCGCTTCCTTCTGGCAGCAGCATCAGGGCCTGGTGGCCTGGGACGGGGTGTCTGCACCCAGCGCTGGGCTGGGCAGCTCCTTCATGCACATGCGCAGGAGCCCGGCTCCTACTCCTTCTCACGGGTCCACTTGATCATCGTCTCAGGTGAGCGGTACAGGAAGATAAGCTTGGCATAAAGTTCCTCTTCCAGCTCCAGCTCCCGTGTCTCCCGCACCAGGAAGATGTCCTGGCAGAGCTTGAGAATACGGTCAACACACGGCAGCTCCTCAAACATGATGGAGTGTGAGATCTCACTGAAGAAGCCGCGTACAAACTTGCCGATAACCAACACAATGGACACGTAGAGCCCCATGATCCTGCCGGGCAGGGGCGGGGTGAGTCGGGGATGCTGCTGGAGCTGCACCCCGCCTGCCCACAGCTGCAGCTCACTTACCCGTAGCCAGCCAGGAAGCCAAGGCTGGGCGGGCTGACCTTGTCACTGAAGATGACCATGGGCAGCAGGTTGCACTCGGCCTGGCAGTCCTGCAGCTCGATGACCCACCACTCAAGGAAGCCAGCGGCCCCTGAGCCCACGCGCTCCCTCCGCAGCTGGATGCGCACGCCTAGGTAGTCGGCCTCCTCGTCTGGGGCAGAGCCAGAGTTGGTAAGGCCACCACCCTCTCCCTGGGCTAAGGGCCACCGCCCCCCCAACCCCAACACACTCACTGGGCTGCAGCTGCTTCACTGGGTTGGCTTCAGGCCCATTAGGGGCACGGATGTACTTGGGAAAGAGGTGGGGGATGACCCTGAAGGGAGAAGGCCCACCGTTTAGGCCCAGCCTTCCTCTCAGCCCCTCCCTCCCCCAGGGCCCTAACTCACACGGACTGGTCCGAGGTGCCCTCAAGCAGGCTGGCCAGCTGCCGCCGCTCAGTGCTATTTGGGGCCCAGTCCAGGGTGTGCTTCTCATTGGTGTACTCCACGGTGCCGCCCTTGGCCAGGTCCCTACAGGCCAGGGCATAGCATGAGCCACTGAGGGCAATGTGCCACCCAGGTCCTGCCCAAGCCCAGGACGCACCTCTGGAAGTTCCAGGTGAAGCGCAGGGTGATGTCAGCTGTGCCATTGTACAGCTCCCGCTTCATCTGGGCCCGGCTGGGTGGGCTGATGCGCCACAGTGCCCCTGAACTGCCCTCGATCTGTGCCGTGACGATGTCCTCGGGGCTGTACTGGCTGATGAACTGCATGGCCAACTGGACCCAGGATGGCACTTGAGCGAGGTGCACCTAAGCGCCCCCATCCCCCCAGCAGCTGCAGGGTGGGGCCCACTCACCGGGTTAGGGTCAAACTGTCTGGACAGCTCCTCATAGGCCTGCTGTGTGAACGGCACGATGGATGGCTGCTGGGCACTCATGGTGAAGAGGGGCTGTGGGGGATAGCAGGATGTATGACCATGATGGGACAAGGGACCTCTCAAACCCCTGGTGGCCAGTACCCAGGTAGGACCCCAGGAAGGTGAGTGGGGTGGAGTCTGCAGCCAGCAGCCCCTCTTCCCCTGCTGGAGCAAACTGGTGACTCACCTCATAGCCACCCAGCTTAAGGGTGACAGTAACATCGATGGGCTGGTTGACGACACCAACCACAGAGCGTACCAGGGACATGAAAAGCAACGGGAACCAGATGATAGCCACGAGGAACAGGATGATGAGACCGCCCATGCCGTACTTGACAATCTTCTTCTTCTTCTGCCCCTTGGGCTGGGGATATTTCTGGGGGGTGCGACAGGGGTAAAGGGCTCAGTGCTGCCTGCTTCCCCCCGCCCTGTTGCTCCTGGGGCTCACCAGGGTCCCAGGAAGCCAAACCTCAGTGTATCAGAGTTCAGTGCAGAACTATGGCACTTGAGATGGCATGGAGTAGAACCCAGAAATAAACCCGCATGCTGAGTGGCACCAGAATAGTCTGTTCAACAACATTGTAGAACAATGGGATGTCCACATGCCAAAAAAAAGCAGGACCCATATTATCTAAGACCTCAGTACAACTCTTAGGGCAAAGCTTCCTTATTGTGGATTTGACGAAAGATTCTCAGATCTAACTGGAAGGCATGAGCAGCGAAAGAAAAAACCCTGTATGTTATAAAAAATGAGACTTCTATGCTTCAAAAGATAGGATGCTCAAAGCAAAGAGATGGGGCACCTGGATGGCACATATAGTTAATTCTGACTTGGTTTCATTTCATGCCATGGTCTCAGGATCGTGGGATCGAGCCTGTATCAGGCTCCATGCTCAGCAAGGAGTCTGCTACTTTCTCCCTCTACCCCTGCCCCCTGTTTGTGTTCTATGTTTCTCTATTTTTTTTATTTTTATTTTTTTAAAGATTTTATTTATTCATGAGACAGAGAGAGAGAGGGATGCAGAGACACAAGCAGAGGGAGAAGCAGGCTCCATGCAGGGAGCCCGACGTGGGACTCGATCCCAGGTCTCCAGGATCACGCCCTGGGCCAAAGGCAGGCACCAAACCGCTGAGCCATCCAGGGATCCCCTATGTTTCTCTCTCTAAATAAATGTCTTAAAAAATAACAACAAATAGCCCAGAGAATTGGGAGAAGCTACCTGAAAATCCTATTTGGTAAGCATATAGAGTCCAGAATGCAGAAAGAATTCTTGACAACAATAAGAGGACAAGCAACCCAACGACAAAAGGAGCAAAGAAAAGGCCGACAAGCACAGGGAAAAGTGTCACCATCGTTCACCACTGGAGAAACCCCATGGAGTGACCACCACAGAGTCCCAAGCGCTGGTGGTAACTGGGGGGGTGAGGGGGGGCAATCGCTGGCGACAGCAGAGGCCAAACAAGGAGCTGCCCCCTGACCCTTCCACCCCGCTGTGGGTGTGCACAGTGTGAACCAACCTGCCATCCCTTGCTATTTGGAATAGCTGGATAAACGAAAGGTGAGGACAATCACAGGAAGGAATGCTACTCAAGCCATGAAACCCCAAATTCTGACATAGACCACACAGACAAGCTTTGAAACTACAGAAACCAGACCTGGGCCACGTGATGTATGACTGAGTGTACAGGAACTGTCCAGAACAGGCAAAGCTGTGCAGAGCTGGTGGGGCTGCCAAAGGCAATGAAGGCGGTGGCAATGGGGGTCTTTGAGGAGCATGAGCGTGCTTTAGACCTGCCTGGTGACAGCTGCCAGCTCTGTGACTCCAAGTCTCCGCAATGTACATATGGACTGGGGCGGGGGGGGGTCCCACTGAAGCCGCTCCCACAGCAGAAAACTCAGCTGACATTCGGTACCCCCATGTCCCAGTCCTCATGCCCATGACCCAAGTGGCCAGGCCTCCTGGGCCTGCCCTGCCAGCTCCCTGTCCTCTCCCGAGCTGACCCACATACTCGGGACTGCCAGCACTGCATGGCTCTCATGTAGCCCATTTGCTCCACTCCCTGAGCCCAGGCACCTTCTCAGTCTCACGGCTGCACTTGATGATGAAGATGTTGGCATAGATGTCCTCCACACACATCCAGCTGGACAGGGACAGCGTGGTGTCTGTCCATACCCAGTCCATCACGGCCCGCAGCTCCACCAGGAATGGCACAAGCCGGAACCTGCCCGAGGTGGAGCACCCGTCAGGAGGGCCTGGGAGAGGCAGCTTGGCTCCTTGAGCCCCATGTGAGCCCACACTCACCCCTGGAAGAGGAAGAGGTTCAGGTGATTGTACTTCTTGGTGAGGAAGTTGCCAAGGATACGGGTCGGATAGCCACAGCGGATCTGGTAGGCAGACAGGGAGAAGTAGATGCACTTCACGAAGTACCACAGCTGAGCCACTGCGTTCTGGTTGAACATCCTGTAGGGGACAGGAAGGTCGGGTCAAGGCACCCTGCCCAAGGCTGGAACCCCAAGGTCCCTGGGGACCCAGCCCCAGCATGGCCAGAAACCCACCTCTCTGTGACAGCGGGCAGAATAAAGAACATCCAGAGATGGATGGCCAGCACCAGGACAACCTGGAAGGCCAGCTTGCCCAGCACGGTCTTGCGGAGGTAGAGGGCACGGTCAATGACCATGGTGCTGAACTGGATGAGCAGCATGACCAGGAAGGCCTCCGGCACCTGGTCGTCTGACAGCGAGGATGTGATGTCTGTGGCTGCCGAGTGTTTCTGTGCCGGGAGAGCAGAGGTCAGGGGGCAGCAGGAGATAGGCAGCAGGGTGACCACCAGGCTCTGTGCTCACCCCAAAGGCCCAGAAGCCGAAGATGATGATGATGAAGTCGACCACATCAGCCAGAAACATGAGTGCGTAGACATCGGTGGCTGCACGGTACTTGGTGTGCAAGATGTCATCGAAGAAGCGCCGCAGGGGCCGGTACATACTCTGGGCCCTGTGGGTGAGGGCAGGATGCAGGGGGTTCAGGGCCTGCCACAGCTCCTCCCACTCGCCCTCACCCAGGAGCAGCTGCCAGTCACTCACACGGCCAGGCAGAAGGTCTGCAGTCGGAGCCCCATGGCTGTCATTCTTTCCCGGGGGCGACTCCACTTCTCTCTGCGGGAGGCCACCACCACACCTTCTGCAGGGATTAGCTGCTGCTGACCAGAGCCCAGGGGGTGCTGGGCCAGTTCAGACTCCTGACTACCCCAAGACACCCCCAAGGGCTGGCATCGCCCCATTTCACAGACCAGCAGGCTGAGCACGGTGACCTCCCTGGGTCACTGGCATTGGGCCAGCTGGGGCCATGTCACCTGGACACACAGGGTATGCCTGGGAACACAGCTGGGGCATCGGCTCTGCAGGGGACCCAGGGGGGCAAGGGGTGGCTATGGATGGACAGGGCTGTCATACCAGTGGCTGTGGGTTGTACAGGCTCTGTGCTCTCCCTCCGCCTCTT